GGAACAGCTCAGTGGGGTTTGGGGGTGCAGCAGGAGGGTCTCGCAGGATGGGGGCCTCACCTGTCTTCATCGTGGACGCCCCTTTCTGCATCAGTAGGCTCCTGTGTCGGTACTCGGGGCTGGCTGGGTTCTGGGCTCTCTTGGCTTCTGCCTGTCCCTTCTCTGCTGTAGGGCTCTGCGGTGCTCCCTGCTCTCTGCATCTGAGCCTCATTCAAGAGGTTCTGGCCTGAGCTGTTGCTCCCCATGTTTTAACCTGGGTTGTGGAGATTCTCCCAGTGATGAAGGAAAAACGAAAAGTGCCCTGGGCAGGTGAGTTCCTGCAGGACTGACCCAGCTGGGCGGGGCCAGGGAAGAGTATCTAAAGGGAAAGTGAAAGGAACTCAGCCGCAATGAGAGGGGACTGGGGGCCTGAGGATTGGGGGCAGGGGCTTCCGGGGTTCATAGGCAATTCCCACACTGGTGGGACAGCAGAAATACCCCGCTCTTGTTCAGAAAAAAAAAACGCACGCTGGTGTATGCTGATAAATGAGGCCGAGAGGATGAGGTTAGGTGGGGGGGACGCTTATTCGCTTATTCCATCACAGCTGGCTTAAGTTCATTCACCACAGTCAGATCTGAAGCCCCGTCAGATACAGTGGCAGGAGGAAGCCTTGAGCACCGCTGGATATGAATAAAAACAACAACAACAACAACAACCACCACACCCCCTCCAAAAGAAATTTGGCCGCACATGAGTAAATGATAGAGTATGGTTAAGGCACATGCCTAGCATACTTTCAGCCCTGGCTCCATCACCAGCACCACGTGGTTCTCCACCACCTCTGACATTAGCATTTGTGGCATGAGGCCTCAAGCACATTGGGGTTTCAGGAGAATCCCCAGCACTCATGACCTAACCAGTCCTGTGAGTTCACTAAACCTGTGGGGATGCTGAGACACATGTGTGCATTCGGTGACCGAGAGCCACTTCCCGTCCTCCCCAGGCCTCCGCAGTAGAGAGACCGAGAGACAGGAACCACAGCCTGATGGTGAAAATGACCCGTTTAGCCCATTCTATTAGAGCAGCTGGCATCCTTATAGACCATCTGAATGGTCCGAGGTGTACGACTGCATGTCTGTGTGATTTACAGAGGTAAAACATCCAACAAAGGCAATTCTCTGGGGGAGATAAACTCAAGGAGATGCTCTGTCTCCAGGGATATCTATATTGCTTTTCTCTTTCCCTCCAGTCCTATATATCAAACAATAGAGTCAAACAACTAGTTAAACAATTAATTCTACTTCTTACCAACACTTGCCATCATTTGGATGAACATTTTAAGAGATAAGGATCCCACAATTTAGTTCTCCGCTCTCTGATAGCAAGCAAGGCATTTATCATAAATCCGAAACTAAGGCTTCAGATCAGTTCAGCTTGTCCTTCCCCATGGGGATCCTGACTCCAAAGCCATAAGAGCTTGTATCAAGACCATGCATTTATGCTTTTAGACGATCCAATTTCGATGCCGAGGTAGCTTCACCACTCGCCCGGGTCCATCTCATTCCCACTGCTGGACCTCCCTTTTGGGGTATTAAGAGCCACAGCAAACAGAGCCGGAGTCAAGTAATTACAGAGCCCAGGAGTAGGTACGTTTCAGAGTCAATCAATTCCCAATATTAGGAGCATAGCATTAAGGTCTTACTGTGTTTAAGCAAAGAACACTGCTCTATAGTAAAACATGAAAGGGCTATAGGGGAAATAGAAAAGCAGGTAATTCACTCCAAGTACAAAATCCAGAATTTTGGCTTATAAATTACTAAGATTCACTTGGGGAATTGTGACAATGAGGTGTAAAACACAAAGGAAAGGTTAAAGATAAACACAGAGGATTAGAGATGGTCACAAGAGCACTGTAAGCTTCTCTGGGAGGAGGAAAAGGGGCAATTCTTAAACATTTAAGGTTAATATCCAACACAGCCCACATTCTCAGGCCCTCAAGCAGGACAGCTGACCTGATAGACCAAGTCTCACTGGGAATGTCCCCAGACTCCTAAGCACTACTTTGGGGACCCTGGGAAAGCCAGGGAGATAATACAGAGGCCAGCACTTTACCTTGCATGGTGGGTGTTGACCAGGTTTCTATCCCCAGCACCTCATATGGTCCCCAGAGCTCTCACAGGGTTCTGTGATCCCTTAGCACAGAACCAGTAATATGCTCGGAGCACCACTTGTGTGCCCCCATTCCCTCTCCCAAAGCCCAAAATAACTCTGTAGAGGAAGAAGAGCGAATGTCCCTCCTGATAGTAAACTATATAACTGAGGTCAATGAATTACCCATTGGGACATTGTTCTGGATAGCATAGGGAGAATGTTCTGGATTATTGGGGTAGTGAAATGAAAACAGAAGAGACATCTTAATGAAAATATACTCAACAAAAATAACCAAATTGAGTCTAATCATTATACACCATGACCAAGCAGGCTTCATCCTAGCATGCAAGGATGGTTTAATATATGCAAGTCAGTCCATGTAATGCACCAAATCAATGCAAAGAAAATCAAAATACTGACCATAGGAGGAGAGAAGGAGAAACAAGGCTACAGCCTGCCCACTGTACTGGCTTTCCAGCCATGAAGGAACTTTTCTCAATCAAGTTGAAGCCATTCGCCTCGCAATAAGCTAAGTCCACGCGACTACTCAACTCATTAGTAAACACTAAAAGTCTTTCCTGTGAGATGAGGCACAGATGAGCTTCCCTTCCCCACCACTCTCGCCCTACTCAACTCCTACCAGTGGAGTTTGGAAATCCTTGCCATGGCAATGCAGCAAGAAAGAGAAGTTCATTGTGTCCAGGTAGGAAAGGAAGTCATGCTTTCTCTAGGTGTGGGTGGCAGGACACTACTTGTAGATCAACCCTAAAGACTCTCAAAAAGCTCCTAGAAACAATACACTTGTATAGTCAAGTGACAGGCTACAAAATTAACACACTAAAGTCCATGGCTGTTCTCTACATGATGAATGAAATAGGAGAGAAGCAAACAAAAAGAAACCAAAAATGATCCCATTCACAACTGAGCCAGAAAATTAAGTACCTTGTGCTGTAGAGATCAGGCTGCCTGCCTTGCACACAGTCCACAGGGCTCCAGCCCAAGCACCCCATGTGGTCCTGTGCCCACCAAAAGAAGTGATCCCTGACTCACAGCCAGGAGGAAGGTCTGATAAATTTGGGGCTGGATGTGCCCAAAATTAAAAGAAATCTCAAATACCTCAGAATAAACTTAATAGAAGTGGTGAAAGACCTGTGCAATGAAAACTACAAAGAACAAATAAAAAAAATGGGAAGACATGAGGAAAATGGAAACATACTCCCTGCTCTTGGATCAGGAGATTTAATATAGTCAAAATGGCAATACTTCCCAAAGCATTAAACAGATTCAATGCAGTCTCTATAAAACATCCAAACAGTTCTTTTTAAAAAATTTTTATTAGTGAAACACCATGAGGTACAGTTGTAGACTTACAAATTTTTGTGCTTGGGTTTCAGTTATACGATGATCGAGTATCCATCCCTCCACCAGTGCCCATTTTCCACCACCACGGGTCCCAGTATCCTTTCCACCCCCTAACCCTCCCCATTCCACCCTGCCTCTGTGGCGGGTATTCCCTTTTGTTCTCTCTCTCCTTTTGGTTGTTGTGGTTTGCAAAAGAATCATTGAGTGGCAATCATGTTTGGTCTATAGTCTACTTTCAGCATGGTTCTCCCATCCTGGGAGGATCCTCCAAACACCCTTTATTTGGTGCTCCCCTCTCTATCTGAGTTCCCTTTTCCCCTAGCATGTGTGGCAGGCCTCCTGGATTTTGGTCCACTGGAGGTGTGCTTACCCCATGTTACAAAAACAGAACAGAACAGTAATAAAAAAACAAAATAAACTCAGCTGCTTTTCTTTTACTATTTATTTATTTTTGTTAGTATTTCTGGTTTTGAGTCACACTTGCAATGCCTAAGGGTTACTCCTGGTCCTTTTGGCCATTTGTATATCTTCATATGAAAGTTTCTTTTCATTTATTCTCCTGTTTTTGAATGAGGTTGAATGATTTTGTCTCCTAACATTCTGTCAGAGCTTTATATATGTTAGATATTAATCCTTTGTCTGATGAGCAGTGGGCAAACATCTTTTCCCAGTCTCTGGAGTGCATTTTTACCTCCCACTTTATTTAAAGACGTGGTTTCAAAATTGGTCACGATGATTCGTTACGGATTATCAATATTTGTGGGGTGACTTGTCTTTTCATCCTTGTTTCCTTAGAGATGCATAATGTCTTTAAGTCAGTGGAGTCCTGTTTACTTATCTTTGTTTTTGTTTTCTGGGCCATGGCCATAAGCCCTTAAAAATACCTCTAACTCATTGTCCTGGAGAGATCTGCCTCTATTTTCCAGTGTCCCTCTTGGATTTAGGTCTGATATTGAACCCTTGATCCATTTTGATTAGTCTTTTTTGCGTGGTGTTACAGAGGGTACCAGACCCTGGGTCTCCCTCCCTGCCCACAGCACACTAAGGGTTGTGGCTGGAGTAAATGAGTCAGAGGCTGGATGTGCAGGGGTGAAGCACTACAGGCAGCCGACCCAAGGGCCATCCCAGCACCCCTAAGGTCGCCTAGCAGCACCAGGAGTGACCCTGAGTCTGGGATCGGGGAAGCCTTGAGCACCCATAGCTCAAACACTGAAAATGAGGAAAGGAATCCACATAGACCCAGGAACATGCTTTACAAACTGTTTATTTTTGTCTTTTTAGAAAAGTAGAAAAATAACATTTTGACAACTTTACTCACATTTCATAGTAAGAGTTTAGGAACAAGTTAACAACAAAGAGTTTTGGGTTTGGTGGAGATGCTCCATAAATAAATAAATACTGACAATAATAATAAATAATGACAACAAATATTAGATAAATAATGACTCAGAAATAAATAGGGCGGTGAAGGCAATCTGGACATCTTGGGAGGAGGCGGTGCGGAGGCTCAGACACACAGTGCTCCTCGGGCCACACATCGCAGGTCCCAGATGAGGAGGCGAATGAGGTTGAGGGTGACAGAAGCTTCCAGGCAGCTCTGGGACTCCTGGGGGAGGCAGAGGAGGGTCAGAGGTATCTGTCTGGGGTCCCAGCAGTGGCCCCACCCCAGGCTCCCTCCTGCTCACTCACCTTGTGAGGAGCCTCCTGGAGTCTCTGCAGCCAGCGCTGGAGGCGGCCCCGGGGCTGAGGGCGCCCTGTGGGCTGAGAGGGTACCTGGGAGCCGAGCAGAGAATGTGAGCAGGGCCCAAACACGGGCGGGTGTCAGGGAGGGAGACCCCAAGGCACCCCGTACTCACACAGGCCTGGACCTTGGAGTGGATGTGGTGCAGTGTGTGGAGAGGCCGGTCCAGGACAGACTCCAGGGAGGGCTCAGTCATGGCCCCCAGGACCTGCAGGGTCAGGGCCAGCTCGGCCTCCAGGGCCACGGGGCGCTCCCACACCTGAGGGGACAGCAGAGACATGCCTAAGGGGAGGGCAGGGGCAGGCACAGGGCAAGGAGAAAGCAGGGTACAGCAAGGAAGGGGAGAGCTCAGGGGACCATGTGACCAGGCAGGACTGTCCCTGAGAGGTGAGGGGACCCCTTGTGCAGAGGAGGGCAGGAGAGGGCTGCGGGCCCCCAGCTCACCTGCAACTGCCTCAGGTCGCGGGTCCTAGGGAACAGGCGGGCATTGCAGTTCCAGGCCTTCTGCAGGAGTGTGTCCTCCTAAAGAGAGCCGGGTCAGCCCCGCAGGGTGCAAGGACACGTCTCAGGGGACAGGCTGCCCACGGGACAGAGCACTTCCTTGCCCCAGAGGCGGGGCCCTGAAGTGTCTGGGACAGTGACACTCACCAAGGCGTCCTTGGCCCTCCTGAAGGCCTGCAGCTCCTCTGGGGACAGAGACTGGAACGGGGCCAGATGGCAGCCCTTGGGGTCCGTAAGGGTCTTGGTGGGCTGGGGAGCAGCAAGTGTCCCGGTTCCAGTCAGCAGCACAATCCCCAGCATCAGTGTCACCAAGGCGCTCAGGTCTGTGTGTGAGGACAGAGGGGACAGGTCAACGCGGTTTGCGGGTGCAGAGGGAGGGTCCCGCAGGATGGGGGCCTCACCTGTCTTCATCCTGGATGCTCCTTTCTGCATTAAGAGGGTCCTGTGTTGGTGCTCGGGGCTGGCTGGACTCTGGGCTCTCTTGGCTTCTGCCTCTGCCTTCTCTGCTGTGGGGCTCCGAGGGGCTCCCTGCTCTCTGCACCTGAGCCTCGTCGCAGAGCTTCTGGCCTGAGCTTTCTGCTCCCCATGTTTTAACCTGGGTTGTGGGGACACTCCCAGTGATGAAGAAAAAGCGAAAAGTGCCCTGGGCCAGGTGAGTTCCTGCAGGACTGCCCAGTAGGGGAGTCCCGGGGCAGGGCCAGGAAAGAGCAGCTGCAGGGAAAGTGAAAGGAACTCAGCTGCAGTGACAGGAGACTGGGGCCCTCAGGACAGGGGCCGGGGGCTGGGCCAATGGACAATTCCCATACTCGTGGGGCAGCGGAAATACCCCGTTCTTCTTTCTTCAAAACAACAACAACAACAAACCACACAGGTCTGTGCTGATAATGAGGCAGCCAGAGCAATAGTGGAGAGGGATTAGGTCGGGTGGGGAGAAGCTTACTCTGTCACAGCTGGTCTAGGTCAGTCACCACAGACACTTTGGTCCCCGAAGCCCAGTCAGATACAGAGGCAGGAGGAAGCCCCAGCACAGCCGGGTGTGGCCACCTGTTCCCCACCCGAAATAAAGACAAAGAAAGAACTAAGAAGACACCAGGAGAGCAGGGGCTGAAAAATGTCACAATACCTAGGGGGTGGGGGTGGGGGGCGACCTGGGGTTCCTAATCCCTCTGGCCTCACCTGCTGAGATGCCTACAGAGAGCCAATCAGAGAACCACAGAGAGGCTGAGGAAGGGCCTGAGGTTAATCCCACCATGTCAGAGGGTTCAGACTGGGCTGTAGGTCAAAGGGCTCTCGCTTTGGGGACGGGTCAGCGGCCATCTCACCTGTCAGATTAGGAACAGCAAAAGGAACTTTTATTTACTATTTGGAATCTGGAAGCTGGGGGCAGAGCGCCCCGTGCTCCCTCTGTCCAGGGGAACATGGTGGAGTGCGGCCGGTGTCGTAGGCAAAACCCAGACTCAGACCCTCACCTCTTCCCGTGGGTTTTCAAGGGTCATGCTCTGAGAATCCAGGCCCAGGCAGGACGAGGGGGGCCTTGGGCAAAGGCAACCGCCTCCTCCCCTCTAGGGGTTCACAGGCTCATAGGATCGACAGAGGATCAACATCCGGCACGATCTAAAACTTGCTAGTGGCTGGCCAGAGAGAGAGGACAGCTGGTAGGGCTCTGGCCTTCTCTGATTGACCCAGGCTCAATAAAGGGAACCCCAGAGGGTCCCTGAGTGCACCATGACTTTTCCCTGAGCACAGAGCCAGGAGTAAGCCCTGAGCACTGCTGGCTATAGCCAGAAAAATAAGGAGCCCGCCTTCCAAAATATATCTGACCAACAAAACCAAAAGAATAGAGTAGGGGTGAATACACATGCCTAGCATGCACCCAGCCCTGGCTTTATCACCAGCACCACATGGTTCCCCTCCACCCCTGACATCAGCAGTTGTGGTCTTGAGGCCTCAAGCAACTCGGGGTGGCAGGAGAATCCCCAGCACCCAGGGCCCAACCAGCCCCACATTCTCAGGCCCTGGAACAGAACTGCAAACCTGGGAGACTGAGTCTCACTGGGAAAGTCCCCAGATGCCTGGAGCACTGCTTTGGGGACCCTGGAAATGTCAGAGAGATATTACAGAGGGCAGCATGAGGCTGACCAGGGTTCCAGCCCCAGCACCTCATAAGGTCCCAGGGTTCTGACAAGGGTGATCCCTCACCACAGACACAAGATTAAGCCCCGAGAGCCACTATTTGTGGCCCCCACTCTCTCTCCCCCCAAAAACAAAAAACATGTGGAGGAAGAAGAGTGAATGTCCCTCCTGACATTTTGTAGATATAAATGAGGTTTATGGAATAACCATTGGAAGATTCTTCTGGATCGTATAGAGAGAATGTTCTGGATTATTGCAGTAGTGAAATGAAAAAAATTTTTTTGATGAAAATATTCTCAACAAAATACAAACAACTCTATTCTAAACATGACACACCATGACCAAAAAGGCTTCATCCCAGCATGCAAGGATGGTTTAATATATGCAAGTCAGTCAATGCAATGTAGCAAATCAATACTAGGAAAATCAAAATACTGACCATATGAGTAAATGCAGGGAAACATTTGACAAGATCTAGCAAACTTCATGATAAAATCTCAATAAAATGAGAGTTGAGAAGCCCCCCCCCCCCCATCTCTCTACGTCTCCCCCCCCATTACTGTCTTTGGTTTTTGGTCACACCCAGCTATTCTCTGAGCTCACACCTGGCTCTGTGCTCAGCAGTCACTCCTGGAGGTGCTCAGGGGACCATATGGGATGCTGGGTATCACCCAGGTGGGTCACGTGCAAGGCAAGCACCATATCCACAGACTTTCTCTCATCCCTGAAGCAACTTTTCAACACAAGTCCACAGCAACTATCGACTCACTAGTGAACGCTGAAACCCTTTACTCTAGATCAGCACAGATGGGCTGCCCTTCCCCACCACTCTCACCCTACTCAACTCCCACCAGTGGAGTATTGGAAATCCTTGCCATCGCATTCATTCATTCATTCATCATCCTGTTATTCGTCGATTGCCTCGAGCAGGCCCCAGTAACGTCTCTTTCATCCTAGCCCTGAGATTATATTCAAGGCTCTTTAGGAGAATGAGACCCATCATTGTTACTGGTATTTGGCATATTTGGTACGCCACAGGGAGTTTGCCAGACTCTGCCCTGTGGGCAGGCTACATTCGATAGCCTGCAAGTTTGTCCAAAGTAGGAATGAGATAATAAGATGTCATAAAAAGATGTCCTGATAAGATGTCAGCATTCGCGTCCGCGCGGTTCCGGGAGCTGGATTTTATAGTCTCTGAGTCTTGGCCGTTGATGGGATTACACGGCTCCAGGGGGCCAGGTGGTGGGTGTGACCCCCACCTACTGGAATTCGGAGGATCTGGGTGGAGGATGCTCGACTCCAATCCGAGTAGGCTTGGAGATCTCGGCCCCGGAACCCGCGTGGATTTGTCCCTCTGCCAGTACCTTCATGTGTGCGGAGAGTGGTCTCAGCATGGTGGTGGCTGGTCCTGGAGGTCTTCGGCTGCCGGAGCCCTGGTTGGGGCGGGGAGGAAAGCTCAACCCGCTCCCCTCCAAAGGGCCCCGGCGAGGAACAGCCAGGCGCGGGGGCAGGAGACTGCACTGTTCTCGTCCGAGAGCTGCCATCTTGCCATCGCAATGTGGCAAGAAAGACAAGTTCATGGTGTCCAGGTAGGAAAGGAAGTCAGGCTCTCTCTAGGTGTGGGTGACAGGACACTACACTTAGATCTGCCCTAAAAACTCTACCAAAAAGCTCCTAGAAACTATACATTGTATAGTAAAGTCACAGGATGTAAAATTAACAAACAAAAGTTCATGGCTCTTCTCTATATGAAGAAGGAAATAGAAGAGAGAGAAACTAAGAGGGTGTGGAGCCTCCAGCAGATCAACCTGTACCCACACGGCGAGTGCATCAGCAGCCTGATGGTGCCTTCAGGCTCCCTGATACCCCCAAATTGCTGCTGTACCTCTGGCCAGACGTCAACAACTCTGGGCCAGTTTTCTGAGAAATTAAACAGCCTAAAGTGAGGCACGTGGGAGCCACACCCACAAAGTACCTCCAACTCAGCTACACAAGCTCATTTGTCAGCCTTTGTTTTGTGACCCCTAAATAAATCTCAGAAGAGATCAAAAGCAGCAGCTAATCTCAGACCTGTGCAAGGCTGAACGGACTGGGGTAAATGAAGGGGGGGTGGGAGACGAAGGGGTGGGGCCGGTCAGCCTTGTGCCCACCCAAGCAGAGCCCGGGCAGCCGCTTGCTTCCATAATCCAAAATTATCATCACTGTGTCCCCGGCGCCCTGTAATCCCATCAACGGCCAAGACCCAGAGACATTAAAACCCTGCTCCCAGAAAAAGGACATCTTATTATCTAGTTCTTACTCTGGAGAACCTGGCAGGCTATCAAAAGTATCCTACCCACACGGCAGAGTCTGGTAAACTCCCCGTGGCGTATTCAATATGCCAAAAACCAGTAACAATGAAGGGTCTCATTCTCCTGACCCTGAAAGAGCCTCGAATGTGGCACTTTTTAAAGTCTCAGGGCTAGAACAAAGGAGACATTACTGGGGCCTGCTCGAGGCAATCAATGAACAACAGGATGACAGTGATAAAGTGAATGCCTGGCCGAACTCCACCCTCTCGGGCAAGACCTCCCTGAAATATAATCTACTAAAAATGTAGGTGAGTGGGTTTTTTAACTGAAGTCTCCAGGCTTGCTCAGGGTCTCTGTGGGCTACCTTCCGCCTATGGCCCCCGTACTTCCCAAAATCTAGGCAGTCACTTCCACACCCCAAAGCCCCCAAGTTAAAAAAAACTACTCAAGTCTTACCTTCATGATAAGAATAAAAAATATTAAATGCTCTGTAATACACAATGACCTCTTACTACTTATACTGTAAACCATAATACACAAACGGAGAGAGAGAGAGAGAGAGAGAGAGAGAGAGAGAGAGAGAGAGAGAGAGAGAGAGAAAGAAGAAAAGTGCTGCCATAGAGGCAGGCTTGGGTGAAAGGGGGCGAGAGGTTGGTGGATGGTGGTAGGGAAACCAGGTATATTGGTGGTGGGAAATGTATGTTGGTGGAGGGATGGGTGTTTGACCATTGGACTGAGATCCAATCATAAGCAGCTCTGTAATGGTCTACCTCATGGATAGTCAATAAAAAATTTAAAATAAATTAAAATAAAAAAATAGAGAGAAACTGAAAAAAAAATCCCATTCAGAGTTGTGTCTCAAAAATTAAGTACCTTGTGCTGTAGAGATCAGGTTGCCTGCCCTGCATGAGGTCCAGCTGGGCTCCAGCCCAAGCACCCCATGAGGTTAGTGAGATCCAAAAGGACTGATCCCTGACTCACAGCCAG